ATAACAATGATGATAATAATAAACGATAACGATATTGATAACAATATTGATAATAACAAGAAAAATAATGATAATGAAAACAACACCACTCTAACAACAACAACAACCACAACACATCAAAATAAAATTCCCCTCTTATATAACTGATATAGATGCTGCTAAGAACTGTTAGAACCATCAATACTATTTTACCATTAGCACAAAAATTGTGATTCTCGACTGACTAGACAAGAAAGATATTTAAAGTAAACATACCCATCAACATTTGAGAAATTGAAACTCTGACCAAGCAGCACCCCAAGTTGATACATTATACAAGGTCCGAAGGAAGGCCTCGGGCATAGCTTCAGAAATCTGAGAGGAAACAAAATAGAACCTCCCATCCATAAAGTTGAACCCTGAAGCATCTGCCCAGAAGGAATTAGAATTAGAGAGTGTAGCAGGGCTGTATGACCCTGCCAACATACCATTAGAATCATTCAGAATGAACCCATGCGGTTTGGTCCCTAAAAAGGGATAATGTCAGAAAGGTCAGAGTTATCCATCATCACTTGGCCCAATTTTCTTCAGCATTAATGATGATATTGAGAAAGAGATTTTCCACACATCCTATGAGAACGTTGGACATGTCGAAAAGTGGACCCGCACATTTGGAAAGGGGTACTTGCTATACAAATTGGATACTAAAGATCAATACAGTATTCTACCAGTTGATCCTTTGAGTAAACATTACAAGGGTTTGCCTGTATTGACAAGAAGCTTGCTTTCAGTAATAGAGATTCAGCCGGGACCTTTTGTAGGTTTGCTGGTTTACTAGATTGGATTGCAAATTATTTGGGCGTTCCTGCTGTCGTTCGCCATGTCGACGATTTTCTCCTCATTCTCCTACTACACCAACAGCAGTAGCCTGCAAATTCTTGGAAGTTTTTAAGGCAATGTTGGTTTTTCTTGGAATCTCCTTTAAGATTCGAATTGATCGGTTCCGTTGATGAATTAATTTTTCTTGGCATTTCGTTGAGTACTAGAGAGCTGTCAGTCTCAATACCTACGCAAAAGAGACCGAGACACTGATGATTATAAACAAACTGAAGAATTGCAAATACTGCACTGTGATGCAGAGCTACGTTCTATCTTGGTTGGTTTTCCAGGTTCATTCAGCAGAAAGACACTTTGTACAGGCCATCCATAAATTAAAATTAACTGGCGGAAAGAGAAAGAGCAAATGCAACAGAAATCATCGCCACACCGGCAATAAAGGAGGAGTTGGCCTGATTAGAAGTTACTCTAAACGGACGGAATGAGGGCGTATCTGCGCCTTTATTAAATTTCCCTTCACTAGCAGTTAATACAAATTCAATTCTCACATTAAACTCGAACATTTTGTGATAAAGTTATAACATCTCAACAAAATTTTTCTCAACGAAAAATAAAGAATCACAAGTAAATGTGAGAATAATAATAATAATAATAATAATAATAATAATAATAATAATAATAATAATAATAATAATAATAATAATAATAATAATTTTAATTTATAATAACAATAAATGAGATAATAATTGCGATAAATCTATATAATAATGATAATAACTATAACAACAATAGTTATAACAACATAATAATGAAATAACGAGACGTGTCAATTGGGAACCCTGTTAGATGTTTGTTGAGACACACATAGCAAAGGATACATGGATGGGGCCAACACCTTATTCGCTATGAAAAGGTGAATCAGTTACAAGAAACCATGTCACGACCAACGTTCACCATTATCTCTCAGGTGAAAAGCCAGATGCAAGAAGCCCTCGCTTTGGGCTCCACACATTGAGGTTTGCAGGGAATGCTTGATCTGTTGATCCAAAGAAAAGAAAAGTGGAAGAACAACAACAACAACAGATCTCAGCTTCTAAATTGGAGATTGCATCTGGCTAGCTATTTAGGATATTTAAAAGCATAGATTTGCTGAACAAACAGCAATGGAATTAACATCAATAGTGACAACAATAATTGCAATATGCAATAGCAACAACCATAACAAATGATAATAACGACGACTATAATAACAATAATAATGAATGGCAATGATAATATCAATGATAATAATATATTAGATAATTATAACTATAATGACTTTGTGTCCTTGTCTTCGGGTGAAGAATCGGTATGGCGTAATTTAATAATTGAGAAGCCAGTTTCACCTGGTACTTTCTTTCGGGAGATAGAGTTTTGAAGTGTGTAATTTTTTAAGTAATAAATAAATGTGTCAATTTTCATTAAACATCCACTACGTTGGATGTTGGTCATCCTAAATTGCTAAACGACCATGGAACATAAAGTGAATGTAGCTCATCAATTCATGACACAAACACATTTAGTATGTATTTCGGAAATTTGAAAAAGAGTGATGTGTATCTTTTTCTTCAAACTAAAGTTATTTGCAAGAAGCAAGTTAATTTCAAACGCCCGCCACCCAGAAGGAAGGATGAGATCGCTAGTCATAAAAGTGGTTGCAACTATCAACAGTAGCAGCCGATATCCATATTAAAGTAATAGTTATACCTCAAAGAGTGGGACCATCCACGAGCGATTAGAGCTGTAGGCATAATTTAACCAGTGGAATAGAATCAGTATGCACTCTGAAAAGTTCTTGGGGTATATGATGTCATTAATGTTTTGGATCTATTAATAAAAAATTCTCACACCACACCACAAATTTGACTTTAACAATAATAATAAAAGAAAAAGAAAAACGTCTGATCAAAACTATTCAGAACATTTATCAAAACATTTTTCCGCCTTGGAACAAGAATTAAAATGGTAAAAAAAATTTATTATTTCAAAAGATTATTTATCATAATTTAAGAATAAAATCAACAAAATGAAAAGATGAAAAGGTAATATAATGAATAAATTTATTTATAGTGAGGATTAAATTAATCATTCATTGATAATTTATCAACCTCACCATTCCTTTACTATTATTACTAGAACCTAATTAATCGAATGGGAATAAGAATATTGTTGGTAATAATTTATTACATATTTCGAAAGATCTACATAATTAGAAGCTGACGTATTCAGGGTCCATTGGGTTTAAATGGATAGTGACTTCCAATTAGTTAGTAATGAAATTTTTATTCACCTATATATTAATTAAGAGACGAGAATCAAAATCAAGATTATTTAATGAACTATCATTATTTGTATAACGTTTTAAGCTTTCTGATTTAATAATTTCAACATCTAATATTCTACTTGTATGATATGCATCCAGATGTGATTCGTGTACTTGTTGTGAACCACTACCACTACTATTTCTGCTATAATCATTAAAATCAGATTTTCTAAAATTAAAAAATTAAAAAGCGTGAAATTGTATCTTTTTTATTATATTCAATTTTTCAATTTCTTTTGATTTTCTTACAGCAAAATCCCAAAGCTCTTCAGAAGTTGGTCTTTTCGATGGATCTTCATCCAGCACTTCTGCATCATTTGTGAATAATCATCAGGCATTTCAGGTAATATTGGTGGTCATAAATCTTCACATATATCAAAAATTAAACAATGATTATGAGCTCTACTATCAAATTGTGGATGGCCTGCAAATATTTCCCACATTAACATCCCAACACTATAGGCATCAGTTCCTTTTGCGTTTGTTGTATAGTTTTACCTCTAAGTAAGTTCTGGTGTAATATATGATATAATTCCATAGATTTTATTTGATGATTTTTCATCAATTGGCCCACATAATCAATCTCAAATCTATGATATAACAACACCTCCTTGCAACAATACATTACTACTCATTATGTAAATCACAATGTATTAAATCTTTTTCATGTATATCATATAATGCATTACATAAATATCTAAAGATTATAATTCTATCTTTTAATGTTAACTTTGAATGATTTTTCGTAAATAATTTCTCAAGCTTCCATCTGATAAATAATTTAAAACTATTGTGTAATTTCCATTATCTGGGAATTTAGTTACACCAAAGCAAGGAACAATCATTTGTGATTTTAATTTTACAATTAATATAATTTATAGTTGGTTATAATAATTATTAAATGGTTATAAATAATTGTTAATTAGAGCTTAACTAATTATTAATTGGATCTCAACTATTTTTTTTTTTAATAAAGTCAATATCCTGCTCATATAATTTTATTAGAATAAAGTAAATATAATAATAATAATTCACAAAATAAATTCCGAATTAACTATATATGAGGCCATTCCTCTTGAAAATAATTAATATATATATACATACATATTTAAATTTAACATTTCAGAAAAAACAGATATGCCAAACAAAGTCTATAAAGTTTATTCAGTCTCAATTTAACAATTTTAACTGCATCATAGATATAATATATCTACACGAATTAACCATTTATTCACTAGTAATTTGTGTATATAAAATTATTAATGAATAATTCATCTTTCGATATTGAAATTCAGTTTACGAAGTGTATAAATTTCGATTAATAATAAAAATTCTGTTTTTTCCTGTATATTAAAAGGTGGTGATTATTTACTGCCTGTTACTCGTTACTCTAGTTAAAACAATAATAAATAATAAAACCGAAAAAACAACGTGCAACATTTTTATGAAGATTTTACTATTTTTTAGTATTAGTCACTGAATTATCTGTTAACAAGACTTTTCATTATAAAAACTGAACGTAGATTTTTCATCCATACTTAACGTTAGTTAATGGTATGCATGATTATAAAAAATATGTAAAGAATTTCCTAATGCGTAGTAGTAGTTAACGGAAATCACTTTCAGAAATAAATTAGTTATTATAAATGATAACATTCATTCATTTCACATGTTTTAACAAATCCATTAATTATAAACCAAATGATAATTATCAAAGAAAGTAATGCCTAAAATAAAATCATTTTATAATTTCTTTTCGCTTGTATTTTGAAAAAAATAGAGCAAAGAAAATAATAATCAATAATAATGACAATTTGATTGGTTATAACTGCTGTCCCAAGGCAGCACCAAGACTTGCCCCTATAACCGCACCAGTAGGCCCCGCAGCTAATCCCCCAATAGCAGCCCCTATTGCAGAAAGTATAGCACTTGGTCCAGATTCTCTTTTCTTCATTAATTCATCAACTTTTCTATCTGTCTCTTCCCTCCGTCTTTCTGCCTCTTTCATCTGTCTTTCTGCCTCTTTCATCTGTCTTTCTGCCTTCTCTAATTTTCTTTTCATCTTTACCTCCTCAGGTAAATAGTCCGACACCCGCTCCTCGAAAGTGTGTAAATTACTCGGATGGTAAATACCTTGACAATTATTTAAGTGTGCTATCAATTTTCGGCGAGAGGCTTTACGAGCTTCCTTATGAGATTCAACCATATTTGGGCTGCCTTTTAAAGGAGGGGTGTCTACATGAATAATCCTAGTAGATTTGATTATATCAGCTAATTCAGGGGTTTCATTTTCTATGTTAAAGCAGTCCAATTTGCATGCTGTCTCATTTTGAAAATCTGGATAACGAGGGCTAATAATAGTAGTATATTTAACAACTTCATTATCGAAAATGGTCTCTTTGAGCAAATGATAAGCTTGTATTTCTTCTTTAGTAAAACGACTGTTTATTACAAAAAAAATTCTGTGTAACCCCTCTTCAATGAAAGGAATGGTTTTAGCTATCTTTTTGAGCACTTCTTTTGTTGTTACTTTAGTATCACCAAGTCCAACTGTATCAATAATTCGGTATTTAACTTTCTTGCTACCGTAATTTACTTCAAAAATTTCATTTTGGGTATCTTCAGTTCCACTTTTACCACCAGGATGTTCTTTAAATACTTCTTCTAATTCATTATTTTTATTAACAAGGACGTTGGCCAAAGTTGATTTGCCATTGCCAGTTCTACCAATTAACATTATGTTTTTGACTTCATTATCGTGCCCTTTCAATGTTACCAAAAAAAACTGTATAAACAAAATAATAAGATGATAATTCATCTTGTTAATTTAATAATGAGGATTACGAAGTGCTTAACTAAAATTTATTATTTTTATTAATAAATGTATATTTTACTGTAAGAATTACTTTTCTTAACGAAAATAAAACAATATTATAACACGTTCGTCGAACAGGTACTTTAATTATTGTAAAAATACAAGTTATCTTTATTATCTTAAGAATGATGTCCTTTATATAATAAAATTACATAGATTGATATAATATAAATAAAATATAAATAATCATAATAATTCTTATCAATCTATCTGGAAGATTTGTGGACATAAATAAATAGAACAAATAATATAACAAACATCAGGGTTTAAATGATCAATTTCAAATTCACAAATTTCATGAACATTATTATCTTCATTTTGACTGTTTTTTAATAAATAATGTTCTAAGTAGTTCCAATGCTCCTCTAGTTTCTTCAGGAAGCACAGATTCCCTATTTCCTTCAATCTTTGAAAACTGACCTAAGATAAAAACATATAATTTAATATAAATTATTTTATTGGCAGCTTCAATAAAAATCATTGCTATATTCACCTTTGAAAGATCTTGTGTAAATATGGGAACCACAATTAGCTGCAACTCAATTTTCACATGCCACAACTGTAACTGCAATTAGTTGCAATTAATTGAGGAACCATCTTTAATCTTGTAATAATAAATTTGCATTCTTATCAATATTCATCCATGTTTCTGATTCTTTCCCAAGTTCAAGGGAACTTGAAATATTTGTTGAAAATCCTTAAAGTCAGATTCTGTGAGGAATTTCTGATGATCCTTCCCAATAAGACTCATTTATTATTGTCACTATATTGTACTTATTTTTATTTTTTTAAAGTTAGATGCAATTATTTGACTTATTAAAAAGAAAAAACTAACACTTACTTTGGTTCATCCATCTTTTTAGATTGTTCTAATAAAATATGTTTGTTCCAATAAGAAATCGTTTTTGTTAACCATATTGGCATTTCAGAGTCATTATCAAAATGAGGGTCCTTGAAGGAAAATAACAGAAATAACAGGTAAAGTATATATATAAATTAACCAAAGATTTATAATTTCATTGATCAAATATCACAATTGTTAGCTGAAATTGCTTCTTTTAATACTAACAAAATAAATGATCATTATCAAATCGAAGTGATAAAATGGCTTTCCATGATAACCAAATTATGAGCTCTTTAACTCAATAACCAAATGATGGGCAGTTTTTTTATGATCATTATTACCAAGAATCCTGAAAAGTCAAAACAATCACTGGATTACTTTTTTCCCAAAATCAGCTAACAACTGTGATTATTATCAAAAAAAACAAGCTCTACAATTAATTTTATCTGCTAAAGGATTACCTTATTGGTGGTAAGTATTTCGTTGTTTTTGTTTTTTTTTGTTTTTTTTGGATTTAATTCTAAGGATTAAACATAAATGATTTAAAGTTCAAAAAATGTAAATTAATTAATCAAACTAAAGTAATGACCATTCTTTAATAACTAACCAGAGTGACAACAAGTGACAATAACCACCATTCTTATGATAAACATTTACTCATGACAACAGCACCATGTTCATCTTTTTGTTTTCTCTTGTTTTGTCTTTTTTGTTGAGGCATGTTTTTAAAAAAGAATTTGTTATTTGATTGATGCGTACACATTAACTATTTATTTATTGGCACTTGGTGTTGCACAAAGATTTGGAAAATCAATCTTATAATTTTCGTCATTATCCATTTTAGTAGTCAGACAAAACTTTTTAACTGAAATTTTAATGTCAGTTCAAGTTGACATCATTAAATTTGATAAAAGATCTGTTTCATAAATTTAGAATACACAAAACTTTGATTGAATGATAATTATGATAAAATATAATATTATAAAAATTATTTGTTGTAGATGGATGATATTTAACTATTCAATTTACATTTTTTAAATTCTTATTCCACATAAAGCAAACAGTGATAATATATTATAGGTATGGAGTAGCAAGAGAATGCAATGTTTAAATATGTTGATGTTATTATTTTAATACAAAAACATCAATGACAAGTAATTATTACTAGAAAATTTCATATCAAAAAATAGTATATTAAATAGTTTTATATATGATTGATTAAAAAAAACCATTCAGTAAATGAATCTCCGAATTAAAATATGTATGTTATATTGATATTGATATTGATATTTAATATACACAGAGTTCCTCGGATTTTTTTTTTACGTGACTCTTCCCCCAAAAAAATAGTCAAGATAAATCTTTCTCCATCCATCCATTGTTCGATATTACTAATAAATAAAACAACATAGTACAAATAAAAAGCATAACAGTAACGCTAATAATCATATTAATGATGATGACTAACTGATAATAATTATGTCATATTTTGACTCTTTTGCTTTTCTTTCTTCGCTCTTTAAAAAAAAATATATTAATAAATAAATATTTATCAATTGTAATAATAATACTAGTAATAAAAGTGTGTCGCATAAAATAAAGTCGGAATTATTAGGCAGGAAATAAAAGAGTTTTAAAAAAAAAAGAAGTAAATATGCACATAAACTTACTCGATAACTTGATAAATGACCAATAAAAAATAAAAATACTAATTCTAATAAATCGGAGAAAATTCAAAAGCATTATTAATATCGCACATCTATTTACTACACACCACTCTCACACTCACTTTCTCTCTCACTCTCTCTCTCTCTCTCTCTCACACATAAAAAAAATTTTTATGAGAGAGAAAAAAAAGTATTTTTTAAATTTTTTATAAAAAATAATTCATGCAAAAATAAAAAAATCAATTTTTTTTTTATTCATGATAAATGATTAATTATTTTATATATTAGTGTCTTTATCATTATACAAGAATATCTTAATCAATATATATTATTATTTATTACTAATCATCATAATAATAATAATTATAATATTAATATCAATAGCGTACGAAAGGTGATAAATTTATTCTTATATTTTATATATTTATGTTTCATGCATTTTTTATTTTATATTTTTATCTCATGAAAAACGCGTAATATAATATTATTATTCATTAATTGTTAGGTTTTTAATAAATTTCATATTTACCTTCAAAGATGATCACATCGTTTCAATTTCACCCAGATCAAACATCAAATATTAACAATGACAATAACAGCAACATTAAAAATGAAAATTCCGCAGGAATTTCAATATTAAATAATGACATGTCTTCTTCTCCTCATGATTTTCTATTAACTGATCAAGAATTAAAAGAAGCTTTGATCTCTACTACATCTTCCCCCGCCTCCTTGTCATCTATCCCTTCATCATCATCATTATCATCATCATCCACTTCATCAATTATTTCTTCATCCACTTGCAAAATTATTAATAACCAGAATCTACAAAATAATCATTCATACGATAATCAACAAAATAACATTTTTCATCATCTTCATCGTCATTTCCCTCATCACCATCATCATCACCACCATCAACATCAACAACGACCACAACCAACATATCGACAAGTTAAAAGACGTAGAAGGTTGACGGAGGATGAAACTTTGAAATTAAATAAAATCTTTGAAACAATCCAAAAACCTGATTCAAATCTACGTACACAATTGGCAAAACAACTTAATATGTCTTCGAGAGCAATTCAAGTTTGGTTCCAGAATCGTAGAGCTAAACTTAAACGTGATGCAATGGAATTAAAAAGTGCAGCGGACAGTAATAGAAATTCTAAACCTAAAAAATTAACCTTGGCTGTCGATTATTGTAAAGAAAATCATCTAAATAGTGTTGATATAGTAAATAGTATCATTAGAAGTAGCAACAATATCAATAGTATTGATACAGGCGATAATATTAATGATAATCATAGTAACGAAAGTGAATTTTTTTCTTCAATTTCTCCTACTACGTCAATTGATTCCTCTCCTCCTCCACCGCCACCAATACCACTATCACCATTATCAGCAACAACAATAACAGCATTTTCTGAAATTGATAATAACAATAATAAGGATGATGATGGTATTATTATTGATGACAATGATGTCTCTGATGTTAATTTGAATTATAATAATAATAATAATGAGGAGAATGAAGAAGACGAAATTGTTTTCGCTGATGATATTAATATTGCTGACTATGATGATGATGGCGACGACGACGACGACGACGACACTGTTAATAATAATGACAATGATTTCGCCGATATTATGGATGACGTTGATGATATTTTTCGCAATAATCAAGGTTATGTTTTGGATGACGATGATATTAACAATTATTATAACCAAAATTATCATTATTTTTGCAACAACAGTAAAATTGTTTGTAGTATTATTAATGGCAGTGATAGCATTAATAATATTATAATTAGCGGCGGTAGCAATGATAATATTATTCATAATAACAACAATCATCATACATATAATAACAATCATAATAATGGAATATCATCACCAAATATTGAGCATTTGGCAATTGCTTTGACCTCCAATAATAATAATGATGATAATAATTCGGATCTTGATCGTCACCAGCAATCATTAAATTCTTCTTTGATATATCCAATTGATTTTAATGAGTTGAATTCACCGCATACACCTTCTCATATTCCACCACCATCTCATTATCCTCATGTTCACCATCCCAGTCATTTGCGACAAGAAGAATTTGGTGATAATAAAGAAACTTTCAATGACATTTCTTCTATTTCTAATAATAATCATAACAATGGTAATAATAATGTTCATGAATATTGGAATACTACTGATAATTGTTTACCAATCATAGATGAAAATGACGATGAAAGATCAATCATTACCACATCCACATCCACTACTCTCAATCCATATTACGAACAAAATTATCAAAGTAATTATTATTGTTAATTAACTTTTTTTTAGAAATTCAAAAAAAAATTTTTAATATATTTTTTTGTTTGAAGTGACCAATCCATCATTAATATTTCCACATGTTTCCGAACATTTCAATTCTTTCTTTCACTCGCTAAACAATAATCCACCAATTCAATTCATTAACATTGACAACAACAACAACAACAACAACAACAACAACAACAACAACAACAACAACAACAATAATTGTAAACAACAACAACAAGAAATTTCAATACCTCATGGTACTTTGGATCTTACAACAGCAACTGCCACTACCAATAATAGTATTAACAACTATTTCAATAATATCACAAATACGAATGAATTTTCATCTTCTATTATCGATATTGAAATTGATAATAATGATCAAAGTTTACCATCAATGACAACAAATTGTCTTCCTTCTCCTACGACAACAATTTGGCCATCTGGTACAAACGCAATCACTAACACAATCACCACGACCGACAATTCATCATCATTATTTGACTATATTGAAAAGCAACAACAACAAAATATTAGTAATTCATCGCTTAACCATGATAATAATAATTCTCGATCTCAATCTCCCTCGTTCAACGAATTTGATTCTTCCTTTAAATTTAATAATCATGACTCTTATAATTCACATTACGATTTTAATATTAATGCACTACAAAATCTTGGTTCTAATATTATTGCTACAACTACAACAACTTCTGTTTTAACCGATCCTCTTTTAAAATCTTTAGTTACTCATTCTCGACACTCTTCTCGACATCCTTCTCCTTCTTTGTCACTTTCTCCATCTTCGTCTTGTTCAAATAAAAATTATTTAGACGATGATGGTATTGTTGTTCGTAATGGCAATAATGACAATGATAATGGTGACGATGTTCACGGAGTCGATTTACATGATGAGAATGACGATAATGCAAATAATATTAATCATATCGGTAGTAATAATATTAATAACAATGATCTCGATAATAATGACGACAATATCAACCATCACAATAAAGATAATTATCATGATGATAATGTCAACATAGTTAATAACGATAACAACAATGATGATATTAACATTAACGAAGATGATGATGACGAAAAAAATTATCGGAAAATTTTTATTATCAAGAAAGAGAATAATAATAGTTACGAAAATGAGGACGATGATGATGATAGTTGTTGGTATTAAATATTTGAACTATGTAAAAATAAAAAGTATTTTGTAAATAACAGTTTATTTTATATTTTGTAAATTTTGTTTTTTGCATTTATATGATTACAAAATTATTTGCTTAATAAAATTGCAATTGACAATAAATACAAAGAAACCCATTTCTCTTTACTCAACTACTTCGCTCATCGCCATTTAACACTAATATAAAGATGAACTATGCAATGTCTTTCCTTATTTGTATTTCTCGAGTCGTGATCATAGCATATTGCCAAAGGCCAGAAATTTTTCTTATATATGTAATTTCTATTTGTAATAATACATACATGTATGTCTCAATCATTTGTTATCCAAACAAACAACCATTTCAATTAATAACCATTATTTTCAATAGAAACTTTAAACCAATAAATAACATCAGTGACGAAAGTCACGGTCATAAATCATATTTATAGTGGAGTCATGAAAATGATTTAACGTAGAAGGCTAAATAATAAATATTATTATTACTTAACTCACAACAGATCCAATTGAAAATGTCAATTTTGAATTCATAGGTAAGAATCTAATAATTTTATCTACTACATTCATTGGATCTTCTTTTGTTCGTAAGTTAAGTTTGTCTTTATTAGGTCTACTGCTTGAGATTTTGATATAAGAAAATTTTACGTATTTTAATAAGTGTTTATTATTTATTAGGGATTATGTACTGACTGTATCAACGTCCATAATGAGGAGATATACCAACAATTTTAAAAGTATATACTCGAGGTAAATAATATGGATGGACATTAATTTTTTGGGTGCAATGAATAAAAATTAAAACATTTACTTTTCCTGGTGACGGTGAAGGGGATTAAAACGGGAGATACGTTGTTTCATCTGAATCATATATACGACATAAGAAAGAAATGAATGATCCTTAATATTATTATCAGTAATCGATTAATTCATTGATGTTATTATTTTACAGTAAAAATTTATTACAATGACACTATCAGTAATTCCGATTAACCCCTGGACAATACTTTACCAACCCAAATTTGTTCATCGTTCCTAGTTATCATTAACTTGGGGAATAAAAGATGGTATCAATAAGTAGTAATACATGCAAATTAATGAATAAATAAAAGAACAATGATATTAGTAATTCGATCTTTATCTCCTCATGGTAGTTTAAAAAGATGCAATTAATCTTATTAACAAATTAGAAAAAAAATTTTTTTTTTTTTTTGACAGTCACCTTTCTTTTTGTCAGCCCTATATATATATATATATATATATATATATATACTAAAAAAGAATAGAATTCTACAACAAATGATTTTTTTGAGAAAATCACTTCATTACATTAAAACTAGAGAGACCTATTCTATCGACAAATGAAGCTATTTTTTAAAAGGTAGGAAAGAAAATGACTTCTATACTTTTTAAAATTTTGCGCAAAATTTAGGAGGTCTTTAGACTGAGCCAACTATATCTTTTTTGTATCATAAGACCCAAATACAACTTCTACTTCATAGTTGTAAGTATCTTTGATATGTTTTGCATTAACAACACATTTTACGCAAATTTTGAAACAAATATCTCGTAAGATCAAGCAATCATGTTCCTAATAACTATTATTCGTATCACCAAGGTTGGATATACAGTACTTTGTAGCTTGAGGACCGACTAAAACTGGATATGGCTCAGGAAACTGTTTTAATATTATTAGAAATTGAATTGAAATAATAGAACAGAATGCGAATAGAAAATATAAAGTAAATAAAGAATGCCATTATTTTCGTATTTAATACATTTCCTAAGGACTTTTCTTTTTTTTTTTTTACTTGCTTGTCAATAATTTGTCTTATTTTTTTTTTTTTTTTTTGAAAAAATATTTTATACATCAACTAGTAAAGGTAGAAGAATACTCATTTCACGTTAGAAAATACAGCATTATCTTTAAATTAATCACCCAATTTATATAATTAACAAACTAATAATAATAAAATCCTCCAAATTGTTAATGATTTCGTTCATAAAACAGTAAATGAAAATAAATTTTGGTATGTAAAAAAAAACATCTTTTTTTTATATGAAAAACATAATAAAACGAGTAAAACGTTACTTATTGGTTTAAAAAGAGATCTACATTTTAAAAAAATTTTTTTTTTTTTGATATTTTTTATAAAAAAAGTAAGTGAAATTTTTCTATATATAAAAAAAATTTAATCGTAATAAAGGTGAATAAAAAAATAATAACAATAATAATAATAGTAAAAGGAGATGGGTCGTGTTATTCGCTCACAAAGAAAAGGACCAGGAGGTATTTTCAAATCTCATACTAGACTTCGCAAAGGAGCCGCAAAGTTAAGATCGTTAGATTATGCTGAACGTAATGGATACATTAGAGGCATAGTAAAAGAAATTATTCATGATCCAGGTCGTGGTGCACCTCTTGCAAAAGTTCAATTTCGTGATCCATACCGGTATTACACTTTATAATATCATGATCAATTAAGCAATAATGAAATATTAATTAATTAATAATAATAATTTATTGTTGTCATTCTTTTTAGGTATAAACTTCGATTACAAACTTTTATTGCAACTGAAGGATTACATACAGGTCAATTTATATATTGTGGTAAAAAAGCATCATTAACAGTTGGCAATGTGTTACCATTGAATTCAATGCCAGAAGGTACAATTATAAGCAATGTTGAAGAAAAAATTGGAGATCGTGGTGCATTAGCTAGAACATCAGGGAATTATGCCACAATTATTGGTCATAATCATGACGAAGGCAAGACTCGTATCAAGTTGCCATCAGGAGCAAAAAAAGTGGTGAACTCATCTGCTCGTGCAACCATCGGCATTGTAGCAGGTGGAGGACGTATTGATAAACCAATGCTTAAAGCCGGTCGAGCCTTCCATAAATATAGAGTTAAGAGAAATAGTTGGCCTAAAACTCGTGGTGTTGCTATGAATCCTGTTGACCATCCTCATGGTGGTGGTAATCATCAACATATTGGACACGCCTCTACTGTCTCTAGAGAAAGTGTTCCTGGTCAAAAGGTAATGTGTTTGTTATGTGTGTGATAGATGACAATGTTTAATAATATTTTATAATTTAATAAAAATTAATTTTTTTTTTTTTGGCAGGTTGGTTTGATTGCAGCCAGAAGAAGTGGTTTGCTTCGTGGTACAAATAGAGTTAAGGGTGCTTAAAAAATTTTACAATTCATTGGAAATCATATTATTATTATTTTTATTTTTTTTGTTCGAATAAATTAAAATTAAATGTATATGTATAAATTTGATCATAATTGATTTTCATTACTTTACTTAAGCATAATTCCTAGTCCATTCTCGAGCTGTTTATTAATTTAATATTAAAAAAATATCAATCGTGAAATTTATTTTCATTAATAGTTCATTAGTAAGTTTACCAGTTGTAATTGCCGTTGTTCCATTTCCCTCCAATGTAGTCCGACATCCATGTCAAATGGTTGATCGGGATTTGGAGAAGATAAAAAAGTGCATTCGCAGAAATAAGCACTTACAAGCTATTAAAGTTGGTGACCATTTGTATTAAACAAAAAAATTTAAAATAAAACAAATACCTCTTAAAATATCTAACCACAATTCAAACGAGAAGAACCAAATTTTCAGCTTAACCAGGTTGTTTCGCAACAATCAAGTTACAGTGCAAATCATCCATACTTAAAAGCTAAAAGGGAGTCAATTAATGTTTTTTCTTTTCATAGATTTTTTAAAATTTGAGAGTTATTATGCAAAAATAATTTTCGCGTTACAAGTTGCATGACCAAATTTGTAATAATTTTCTTTGATCTAAAGATTTCCAAAATTTGGAATTTCTAAATCAATGGTCTAGACTCATTGTGTATAGTGGTCCCCTGGATGATTTTCCGTCTAGCAACTAGCCTAGTAGTCGCGTGAGGCTGCTTTTCTACTTACTATTAATAGAGTTATTATTATTTAATAATTATTCACATAGGCCGTATTCACGAATTAATCGAGTTGGGCTGACGATCATAACCCACATTCACAGATTAATAGAGTTGTGTGTTCCCTCAATTCTAGAGTTGTAATCGAGTTGAAAATCCTACGCAGTGTTGAAAATTCAATCGGGGGTATCACGTTACACCAAATTTCCATGTGCACGAAATATTTACACAGTGTATCTCGGTTTAACGGATCTCGATTTAGCGGATTTAGGGGTTTAACGGATAAATTTTCAAAACCAAATTCTTCTATAATTATTTTATCTCGATTTAACGGATTTAACGGATTTTTCATATATATTCGATTTAGCGGATTTTTTTTTAAAAATCTATATGTTCGACCATAATAAAAATATCTCGATATAACGGATAATGTTGATCATTAACTAATACAGGCACCAAACATAATTAATGATGAAATTCGAATTTATTCTAAATTGGAAAATAAAACGTATGATGTAAATTTTTTGATAGATTTGTAATAAACTAAAAATATCTCTTCATAACCAAACAGATCAAAATTATTGATATAATAATGATATCAGGAAGTTTCTCTGATGTAATATAATATGATGTCTCAGTTTCCTAATGATTTGTAATATTTGATGTTTTTATTTAAGAAATTGAAAGTGTCTTTATAACCAAATAGTTATAATAAACATAACATCAGGAAATTTTTGTGATGTAATAGGGTTTATGTATAAAGTCAGAAAATTTTCATGATATATTTGTAATAAAACCGATTTGTAATAAATAATATGAATAAATCACTTATATAAAGGAGTGGTATTCCAATTGCTTGTAACAAAAATCAAAAAACCTTGTAATAACAAAATTAAAAATGTCTTCACAAACAAACAGACCAGGAGAAAATCTAAATCAATCGCCTAAAGTAAATAAATTAATCAAATATTTGTTAAATAAAATTCATCAAAATTAATTGATTCTCATTTTAAAATCATATAGAAAAGAAAGATATTGACTAAAATACAAAAAAGAGAACTATGCGAAAAAAAAAGAGATAATCCAAATATTAAAGGCATTGACTTGGCCCAAGAATATGGGATATCTGTACAATCTGTTTCGGATATATTGAGACAGTCTTCTCAATGGTTAAATTATGACGAAAGTTCCCCAAGTAATGTTAATCTGTATAGAAATAAAAAATCTGATTACCCTGATGTTGAAGAAGCAATGAGAATCTGGGTTGACCAACTTTTAGCAAGAAATTTAACATTAAGTGGTTCCATTATGCAAGAAAAAGCCATAGAGTTTGCTAGACATTTCGAAATTAATAATTTCAATGCTTCTTTAGGGTGGCTAGAAAAATTTAAAAATAGAAATAATTTGCATAGTTTTAAAAAGAGGGGTGAATCATTGAGTGCTCCTATCAATGAAATTTCTAGCATGCAAAACGAACTTCAAGAAGTCCTACAAGAATATGACCCAGAAGATATATGGAATTGTGACGAAACTGCAATATACTGGAGACTAGAGCCTAATAAAACAATTGCCCATGCACCAACCTTAGGAAAAAAACGTCCTAAAGATCGTATAACTGCTATGCTTACTTGCAGTTTGACTGGAGAAAAGCTACCTGTGCTTTTTATCCATAAATACGAAAACCCACGACCTTTGAGAGGCATTTCCAAAAATACACTTCCAGTATGGTATTACTGGAATGCTAAAGCATGGGTGCAAAGAAGCATTTTTAAACATTATTTAGAAAGATTCAATAGTATAATGGTTCAAAAGAATAGAAACATAATCTTGCTCTTGGATAATGCAAGTTCTCATAATACCGAAAATATACCTTCTTTATCTAATATATGAGTTCATTTTTTCCCTCCTAATACTACATCTATCCTGCAACCTCTAGATCAGGGAATAATCTATAGTTTAAAGGTAATTAACAAAATTTTATTAATAGTTCTATCTAACACATTAATTTTAAAATTTTTTATCTTTGCAGTCAAAATACAGAAAAATCCTTTGTCAAAATAGAATTAAGGCCTACCAAGAATCAGAGAATGATCAAGTACCAGATATAAATATTTTCGATGCTATTAATTTCATATCTAATGCTTGGAATCAAGTAACAGTTGAAACAATTAAAAGTAGCTGGAATAAAACTAAAATTATTAATTATAATAGTTCAGTAGCTGAAGATTCAAACCAAGAATCGGAAATAAATGAAATAAATGATTTAATCAATGAACTCCCCTTTACAGATCATCTAAATGCTGATGAATTTATCACCATTGATCAAAATCTTGTTGTTCAAGAAGAAATGACAGATGATGAGATTGTGAAAATTGTAAAACAGCGATCAGAGAATGAAGATGACAATGAAACAGACGAACCTGAACCAATAGTTACTGGTACAGAAGCCATAAAAGGTTTGGAAGTGGCACTTAAATATGTTCAACAAAAAAATTTAGAAATTGATTTTCAAATAATTAAAAGTGTCAATAAATTGAAAAGGGAAATTTCTCATAAAAGTTTTCAAGAAAAAGTACAAACAAGGATGGAGGATTATTTTATGAATGAATAAATTATTTATTATTATACTTATTATTGTTACCATGTATATTTTATTTGTCGTATGTATTATTCATTATTTATTTTATTGTGATAAATAAATATTAGTATTAGTATTATTGTACAACGTATCACGTGATTGTTTCATCATATCTCGGTTTTGCGGATAATTTTTTTGGAACGAACTTATCTGCTAAACCGAGATACACTGTGTATAGTGATCAAACTACCTTGATTTTAGCACCACTCCTTCTGCCTATCAGATGGTAGCACATACCAAGTCAGAACAATACTTTGATATATCCTTTATCTGTATATGATAACAATGTTCTCCCAAGATGTGAGAAATGTGATAGGTTAATGAGAAATAAGAGTCTATCTTATTGTCATAAAGAAAAAAAGAAGTAAACCCAATCTCTTACTAACAGGAGGTTAGCTGCCCAATCTTTCAGTTTTCGCCTAGAAAGTAAAACTAGAGAACTAGAAAAAGAGTTATCAATTGCCAAAAATTGAAAGAGAAAAAGTAGCCAAATTTCAAGAAAAATCAGAAGAGTGAAGTAAAAAGCAAAAACAGGAGTTATTGGCTAAGATAAAGGGTTTAGAAGAAAAAATTAAGCAACTAAAAGAGGAAAACAAGAAGTTAAAAGATCAACAGAAGGGTCAATTAACTGCTCAAATTGAAGTCAAAGAGACTAAGGTGATCTTGATTGAAAATAACAAAGTAATTTAAAAAGAATTGAGGAAATGCTTTCCTCTTATAAATTGAAATTCATTTCAACTATCAAAGAAAATGATAGTTATTTTCCTTTTAAAGATTTTTGCTTTTTATTAGGTAATAATGCATCATCATCCTGCTTTCATTTATTATTTTTCATTCTTCTTGATAAATTTCATAAGTAATCCTTTCTTTTCTTAGATAAGTTTCCAGTGTCTGAGCATCATTTATTTTGAAAATATAAGGAGCAATTTTTTCTCCTTGTTCTTTCTTCAAAATACTTCTAATGGTGGTATAATTTTTGGGTTCCATAGTAGATCTGATGTAAATTAGCTTCATAAAACTAATTGTGATGATAATAGCTAAATTTTGATCCCTGAAATTCTTGGTAATACCAATGTTCACTTTGTCTGGTTTTGTTGCAGCATGCCCCATATAAACATCAAATTGCTGCGCCATATGCTAAAGTTTTCCCTTTTTTTCAAATTGTAAAAACCGCATGACCAACTTATTTTTTAAAAAACATCCATCCAAACGTAAAAGTCAATCAAGGACACAAATTGATATGTTCTGTGGATGAATGGATATTAAATAAATGTCACGTATCACATGACCTGGATTGATTTTGCCAGGAATTCCCTAAAATAGAAAGTGCTGAATTTCATATATATAAAACGGCTTTTACTTTTTTGAAGATTTTATATAAAATTTTTTCAGTAACTTTATTCTTCTAATCAATATTTATAAGTATCATTAAAAATGGTGTGCGTTGTACAGCATATGATACACACACCATAATGATAAATTAAAACGATGCGCGCCATAAAAAATTGGTTTGACTTTCTATAAATAGACAAGTGTGACTGTATCTATGGATTTTTCGAATCCACGGCTGCTAATGGAGTAAAAGATTACCAAAAATATAATCATGTAAAAAAAATTTTTTTTGACTCTATTCTCTAATCTTTTTTGCTTTTTTGTATTATATAATATTTAAAATAAACATATCTATATTATTTATAATAATAATAATGGCTAAAGTATTTATCGAATCATTATTTCATCCTAGTGAATTGACAGCTCTAATTCAATATAAACTTCGACCAGCACCTATAAACAAAATTCCACCTGAAAATAAATCAAAAATAAAATGTTACTATTTCTTAAATAAAACTTCTAGATCGTTTGCTGCTGTGATTCAAGAATTGGATGACGAATTAAGAGATGCTGTAATGGATGTTTATAAATTTTCTTAATTGAGTAAAGAAAAATGATCATTCTTTCAATTAATAAAAAAATTGATGATTGATTATATATATATAGATTTGTTTATTTTATCTTGCTTTACGTGGTCTTGACACAATTGAAGATGATATGACAATACCTATTACAAAGAAAGAGCCTTTACTAAGAAACTTTCATGAAATTCTTTTCCAAAGAGGATGGAATTTTACTGAAAGTAAGGTTAAATTTTTTTGATATGATTTATTTTATGTATGTTACGATAAGAATGATAAAATAATAAAACATTTGTTTTAAAAAATATAAAATGATAGGTGGGCCTAATGAGAAAGATCGTGAATTATTGGTAGAATATGATGTTTTTATTGAAGAATTTTTGAAATTGGATAAAAAGTAATATTAATTAATCAATTTCAATCAATTAAATGCATATGCAAATATATTAAGAACAGTTTTTAATAAATTAATTATAGATTTCAAGATATTATTTCAGATATTGCCAAAAAAATGGGTAATGGAATGGCTGATTATGCAAAAAATGCAGCATATGAACAATATGGAGTTATGAGTATTAAAGATTTTGATTTATATTGTCATTATGTGGCTGGATTGGTTGGATTGGGTCTTAATGGTTTGTTTGTTGCAAGTGGTTTAGAAAGTCCTGAATTAGCAAAAAGTAGTGATCTGTAAGTTACATAATATATACCTTTCTTGTTGTAATCATCATCTAATTATAATTTATTCAATTTTTATTAGTGCAAATATAATGGGACTTTTTTTACAAAAAGTAAATATCACTCGTGACTATCTAGATGATCTTCTTGAGAATAGAAAATTCTGGCCTAAAGAAATCTGGTCACAATATGTTAATGATTTATCAGATCTTAAAGAACCTGGATATGAAACAAGAGCTATAGACTGTTTATCCACCATGATTCATAATTCTCTTGAACATGTACCACAATGTCTAACTTATATGAGCCAAATTAAAAATCAAAGTGTCTTCACATTTTGTGCCATCCCACAAGTAATGGCTATTGCAACTATGGCTTTGTTATTTAGAAATTATAATGTTTATAAAGGCGTTGTTAAAATTCGTAAAGGTGAAGCTATAAAGGTGATTCATTCACTCATTCATTCATTCATTTTTTTATGGTAAAATTTTAAATTAATATAATTAATATATAATTAATTGGCCTATCTGTATATTTATATTTTGTTAGTTGATTTTGAAAGCCACAAATATTTATGAGGTAGCAAATATTTTTATGGAATTTACAAAGGTAATTATTCAAAAGAATAATTCAAAAGATCCAAATTTTATGAAGATTAGTGTTGCCTGTGGTCAGGTAAGGAAAAGAATATTATTATTGTTAATCCTTTCCATTTGTTATTTTCTATCATTGCATTAAATTAATATCATATATTATTTATAAAGATTAAACAATGGTGTCATACTAATTTACCAGATTTGGATAAATATAATTCTGGTACATCCCAATTGAAACCTAAAGATTCACAAAATGATAATGATTTATTGATTTTCTTTAGTTTTTTATTACTAGCATTTACCGCTTATTTATTATATTATTGTAGAGAATATTTTTATTATGATGGATTAGAAATTTTAGATTTATTCTATTCATCATAATAATTTTTTTGATTATTCTCCTCCTTACCTTCTTATTCTTATCAGAATAAATTTTTTTAAAAAAAATATATTATAAAAAAATTATAATATATAACGATGATCCACCAAATCCCGTAAACAAAAAATTACTTGTAAAAAGGGGCGAGGCCTTTTTTTTTTGGGTTTACAGGACTTTAGTTTGTGCAGAAAAGATTTTGTGTACGTAATTTTTGGGAATAATGGATATGTTGTGCGTGAATTTTAAATTGAAATTGACACACAACAGATGCACAGTGAATCTCAGTTTAGCGGTCCTCGATTTAGCGGATGCTAATTAAAAATCTCGGTTTAACACCTTCTCGATATAACAGTTTCTCGAAAATTTCCCAAACTTCAAGCTGATGCTATCCCAAAATATACATTTAAATATCAAGTCTCATTAATACTAATGATTTATTTTTTCGCTTCAAGTATTCTTTCCTGAATAAATGAATAATAACAATAACTTATGGAATCTAAAAATTTTCTATTTAATTACCATCATTAAGTCAATGATGATAAAAATCACTAAAAAATATAAAGTTTTAATTCAATTTTGGCACGAGTGAATTGATGAATCTTTTTAAAAATTACTATTAGTTTCTTTGTGACAATTAATGTAAACGGGTATCTGGATATTTTTGTCCAAGGAGTGTATAATAAATATGTTGTGTATGTTATTATTTAAAAAGATTTATCTGTATTATTAATTGTATTGATTTTTCAACTATTATATTTATAATTGAAAAGAAAAGAAAAAGGTTGTTTATTATTATTATATAAATATTTCTTTTCTTTTGGTATATATACTATATATATAAAATATTTAAAAAAGTTTATATATGAATATGTACAATAATATTGATTATACTATTATTATTATCTCGTATGTTTGTTAATTTCTATTCTCATATTGATAAATTGTTATCTTAATTACTAACCAACCAATTAATTAACCAGCACCTTGACCAACTATATATAAATATAAATATCTGTTTCTCTCTTTCTATAATATATAAATCATTAATAATATGTATTATTATTATAATTATTATTTTAAGAAAAGAATGATGATAATTTGATATTATTAATAAACTAAAACTAATAAACCAATAATAATAATAATAATACTAATAATAATAATAATAACAATAACAATAATAATAAAATAAAATAAAAATAAAAGAAATTGTATCAAAGTTTTTGCTAATTCTCCCCCCTCCACCTCTTTTATTTCAAACATCATCTATCTGTTGTTTTGATGGAGAGAAATCATCTCTTTGATTTTTTCTTTCAGGCCTGGCTCTAGTAAATTTATTATTATTCTTACTACTACTATTAATATTGTTACTAATATTGATGTTACTACTATTACTAATATTATTACTATGGATATTATTTGTTGATATTTCATTCATGATAGTACTATCATTATTATTATTATTGGTATTATTGTTATTGATGCTACTAGTGTTTGTATTATCAGATTCCAAAGGTCCATACTGTTTTTCATAACGATTCACTTTTGCATGCATTTGAAATAAAAGATCTTGAAGACGTTCCATCTCTTCTTCTAAAACTATACTTTGTTTTCCTGTTTCTATTATATATATAATGTATATCATACATAAATTTATTATTACAAGAAATTATTGTTAATGTTTAATAAATTAATCATCATACTTTTAATTGCAATTTTCAACTCTTCAATAACTTTTCTTTGCAAAGCTATCTCCACTTCATATTGTTCCACGCGTCCTTGTCGAAGTTGTCTGCCTAATTCTTCATTTTCATTTTGTAATGTTCTCAATTTCTCTACAAGTTTCTTACCTGTAATACTTTGGAAAAAAATAATAATTTAAACAAAATAATTGAATATATAGGTAAGTGTACACGCACACATATATAATGACATACCTATTAGGTGTAAATCCTACACCATCCAACTCTCTCTTTAAATTTTCAATTGTTTTATCTTTTTCTTCTAGTTCCATTTTCATAGTACGAAATAAAGCATTAATAGCAGGATCAAGAAATTTTTTCCGATAGGCTGGTTCATAAGAAAATTCAGGTGCAAGTGTTTGAGATAATGTTTGTAATTCACCCTATTAAATAATATATTAATATATTAATTATATGCACATGTGTATGCATATATGCATTTTAATTAATCAGAGTAATTAAATTCTTTTTTTTTTCCTCAAAAAAACCCTCCATCATTACCAATAGATTTTGAACCTCTTCTTCCTTTTTAACTAATTTGATTAACAAATCTTGTTGCGAAAGATGTCCTAAATTTTGTAACATTTGAAGTTGATGAGATTGTTGTGACGATGTAGAAGAAATAGAAGAATTTTTCTGGTGAGTATTATTAATAGTTGAAGTGGTATTATTATTATTAATCCTAGTATTCCTATTGTTATTATTATTATTATTATTAGCTTTATTATTATTGTTAATGTTATGGATATTAAACCCTTTACAGTAACATTTGTCCATTTTGTCAAGGTAAATTCAAAGATTGGACCAATCAATATATATACAAGGATTGAAAAATCAAGAATCACATTATTAATATTGTTTTGTGGCTAATTCTTGGTGATCGCTTACTTATTAATAAAGCTAAAAATTATTTTTTAACTATATATAAAATAATAATAATAATGAATCAAAATGAACAAGGTAATGAATTAAATTTTAAATTGAATATTGATGATATATGTAAATAACATTTATATTAATTAATTTATTTATTTATGTACTTATTTTAATTATGAAAAAAGTATTTAATACAATCTTGCCAATATCTTCTCTATCAGAAGAAGACTCTATAACAGATTTATTTGGTACTTTGTCACTTCACAAATCAGAGCAAAATTTAAAAAAATACAATTCACTAATACCGCCACTACCATTCAACAATAACAAATCTACAACAAGATTAAAAAAAACACCAACTTCACCATTTGATAAGTTTGAAAATATTTCATCAATAGATATTTTAATTAATAATTATAAAAATAATGATAGAATTCCATGCAAACTATGTAATAAACCTGTAAAATATTACTGTTATTATTGTTATAAAATTGTTGGAATCAGGAAAGATGATGAAAAATTTATACCAAAGTTAAAATTACCAATTAAAATTGATATGTAAGTAATATATTTAATATTTGAGTAATAATAATAACAATAATAATATTATTAATTATCTATATTAATTTTTATTAGTGTTAAGCATAATCAAGAATTAGATGGTAAATCGACAGCTCCCCATGCTAAATTAATTGCACCTGATGATGTGGAAATTTATTCTCATGAAAATATTCCAGAGATAACAAATCCAGATAGAGTTTTATTATTATTTCCAGATCCTGTAAAGTGGTTTTTTTTTAGTATGCTAATTGGTTAAAGAAAAGGTTTCAAATATTTATATTTTTTATTAATTTTTTTTTTAGGATGCTAAATTATTAAAAGATATTTCTTTAGATTCATTTGATAAATTGATTGTGGTTGATGGTACATGGAGACAAGCAATTTCTATGACCAAAAAGAATCCAACATTTAGAAAGTTGAGAAAAGTCACAATTAAACCACAAAAAACATTATTTTGGAGATATCAGAACAAAAATGAAAATTATTTGGCAACCATTGAAGCAATTTATTATTTTTTAAGAGAATATGATGAAATTTCATTATCTAATAATAATAGTAGTAACAGTAATAGTTATGATTATGATGGAAAATATGATAATTTATTATGGTATTATAAATATTTCTATGAATTGATTCAAGAAACTTATAGAAATAATGGTAAAAAACATTTCACAACAAGACATTGTGACAACAATTATATTAAATATTAAATATTACCGAATAATGAATATTAGATATTAAATACTACCAAATAATAAATATTAGATATTAAATAATTCTTTTAATATTCTACTTGTATCATCTGGATTTTTAACTGAATGTCCTGTAACTTTGGGATGCACAAAAATTTCATAGTCATTTCCTCCCTAAAATAAAATATTAGTATTAGTATTAACATAATTAAATAACTTACATATACAATATAACTCTTTCTCATATAATATAGTATACCTGATATGTTTTATCACCAAAGAAATGTATGGTTTTAAAATTTTCGGTTTCAACATGTTTTAAACAATAAGTTTTATCCCATCCAGTAGGAAATATATCAAAAGAAATCTGTCCACCTAGATTTATTTATTATTGTTTAATGTTGCTATTAATCTTTGTTAATTAAATTAATATTATATTTATTTACCAATTGAATATGTAAGAGAATAATCTGGAAACTGATTTTTTAATGCTTGAACAAATTTAGGTCGAATATTATGAATCTAAATAAAAAGATATATATTTAATAATGATAATATATAAATATGAGAGAATCGCCTAAAATGTTCTTTATAAATACCTTGTCATATTCTTCAAAAGCATTCCTTTCCTCAACACTAATAAAAAAATTGATGTTAAAATTGAATTATATTCTTTTTTGAATGAAGGAATAAAATAAAATAAAATACCTGCAATTACGTCCAATTGGTGACACATTGATCATTCCATTACGAAATTCAACAAATGTACCACTAAACACAGAAGATAAATGATCAATTCACTTGATAAAATCCCCGGTTTGAATAATTTCAAAATATGATAATAATACCGTTTCTTTGGCAAATCAATATCTGCTATGTATCTTAAAATAAAATTCACCAACGCAGAATATTTCTTTTCTCCTATCCATTCAATAAAATTCTTTTAATTTAAAGAAAAAAAGATAATTATGATTAGAAAGAAGAAAGCATTCAACTATCAATTATCAGTTATTAATAAATACTTGAGAAGCAAGTTGTTTTCCTAATCTATAAGCAGTAAGTCCATTCTCAGAGAATCCAAAGTCAAAATCATTGAGAACTAAAAAAAATTAAATAAGTAATTTTCCGGGAAAGAAAATTTTGTTTCTTTAAAACGATCAATCAGTCAATCAATCATTACCGTTTGATCCGAGTTGTTCTATTTGTTTAACAAGATCTGATCCGCCAACAAATCCAATGACTACTTTCTTTCTTAATTTTTTCAACAAATCTGAGATTTCTGGAGTGACTTGCTAAAAAAAATTTTTTATTTATAAACAATTTTACTTTCTTCTTTTTATGATTTTAATATAGATATATAGTCAGTCAGCTTACCCTTCTAGCTGGTGTCAATGTACCGTCCACATCAAATAAAACCAAAGTATCAGGTTGTTCACGATCTTGCCAATCACTCATGTCGAAGAATTAAATAAATATAAATTAAAAAAGTGATAGGAAAAAAAGAGAGAGGGGAAGAATTCCTTTTTTTTTTTTTAAATATTTGATGCATGTGTCACATTTTTTCTACATGTTTATTATTATTTACTTTTTAACTGATAAATAGGGACATGGCTGCAACAGAACAAGGCCCTGAAAACTTTATTCTCGGAGTTTTTTACAAATACGCAACCACTAGCCAATCAATTATTAGTTAAAAATCCACACATACACTATTATTGTACCAAAATAGCATTCAAAAAAACCACAAGAATTTTTTAACTCACTATTTAACAAACTCTAAATAAAGAATAAAAAACTTAAATAAAATAAAAATGTCGGGGCCCTTTTCACCTCAAAAGAAAAGAAGAATTTCAACTTCACCAATTGAAGGTATTTTTGAATCCATTTTAAAAAATTGGCTTGTTTTATTTTTCATTTGAAGGAAAATCTAAACAATGTTTTTTTAAATGGGGAAAAAAATAAAATAAATGAATAAAAAGAAAAACGTGTTACTGCCATTAATGAACAATTAAAAAAGGTACATTGAATATTTTAAATTTTAATTATATATGATATTGGTTTTCAACTAATATTGGTTATTTTAATTTGATTTTTAGAATAAACCAGATTTTTCTGGTGATCGCGTTAACGACATCAACATCAACAACAATATTAGTAATAGTAGTAGTATCAATAGTAATAATAATAATAATAATAATAATAATAACAACAACAGTAGTAGTAGTAGTAATAATGACAATAGCAATAGTAATATAAATTATAATAGTAGTAATAGTAGTAATGGTAGTGGTAGTAGTAATTCAGGTGAAGAAAGAATTAAAAAAAATATTAAAAATAATTTTATTTATTTTTTTCCTATTTATTGAAATAACAATTTCAATTAATTTTAGTTCGTGCAATTACTACAACACAAAATTCACCCAATCAAAGTTTAACAACAGCATTTCCAAAATTATCTTCAACACCAACAAAATCATTAACAACTCTAATAAATACTAATACCATTAACTCTCCATCG